CTGTTCTTATGTGATCACGAAATGAGTGAGGTTCGTGGTCGTGATGATTAATGCTTGCTGGTGTTTTCAACGTCATTGCTCAATGATCTCGCAACGGCTGGTGACTTATACATCCAGCGCCTATATGCACGCTCTTGGGTGAGATAAATGAAGTGCGACAATCTAATGATGATGAATAATCTGGTTTGATGTGATTGTAACACATTGATTTGACGCTTTAGTTTGTTTCATAGCAAACAAATTGGTGTTAATTTCAACTCATACTAACGATTATGAATCACACTGATGGAATGCGGTCCTTTTCCACAGCAACAAGTTGGTAATGCAACTACTAATTTTACGCAGAGGTGAATTTCATTACCACAGTTTCCATGAAAACAAGCATTCTCGATGAATGTCCACAAATAAGCTTAGTGCACTCGGGCGCTTCATGCCGAATTCATAAAGGCGAAAATTCTTCTGCACTGATGCAGTAGTACGAATACGTTCAGTTCAACGAATAAAACTGTCATGTTTACACGAGATGGATGCAAAATAGCGTTTGAAGGCGGCTTATAGGCAAATCCATTGAAATTTATAGTACAATTGACTAAAAACTAAAAAATTCAATGATTCCAGAAAAATTAAATGTAAAGTTAGAACTGTTCACATAGAAGAATTAAGATGGAATGTGTGATCAAATAGAAATAAGGAACAGAAATTTTTAATTTGATAATCTTCTTGAAATACTCACCAAATGTGGACTCAGAAGTTTACGATTCGGTTGGAGTTCAATTCGGTATGTTGAATTCCATGCATTGAATTTCAAACGAAGGCCATCACCGCCGAATTTAAGCCTTTCAGTTTTGATTAACTCATATTCTGGAACGTGCAATTTATCTTCTACGCCAAATACTTTTTGCAATTCCCGTTTTGTAAGCCGATGATGAAATGCCTGTAATGATAGAACGGTATCTTCTGGTGCATTCGAAGTTCACCAAATGCCTCACTGAAACTGAATGTTTCTCAGATTAAGATCAATTGTGTTCTTACATGACGACAATGTGAAAACAAAGAAAATTCGAAGAATTACACTTTTTTCGACAAAATTCACAGAGTATCATGTGGCATGATGTGTACATCTGTTGACAGCGAGGTGTCAACTAGAAATGCTGTTGAATTCATGCAAAAAATGTTACGCAATGATCGAATTGAGTGGATTGTCGATGAAACGTAAGATTTCATTTCCCTGTCATAAAGTGAAGGTTATCCGTAAACGCATACTTTTGCATTCATTGTTTCGCAAATTTCTTATTTTCGTTTCTTATTCGCCTCATCTCATATCACCTATCATTCACCATTAACACTGTGTATATCATCAAGCCATTTCACTGCGGGGATAAACAAGAATTGTTCACTATATCCCTCTCAAAAAAGTGTTATATGAGAAAACCGTGTTCGCAGGTATTCAGATGGGGACTGAGTGAATGATTATGACACAGTCAAAGATCCGAAGTTACGAACGAATGCGATTGAATGAATATAACCACACGGATTGGCGTCTCTGTACACTTGGGATAATTCGGGATATTCGATCAATATGAATATGGATGTTTCACTGATAAAAATATCAGTGAACATTTACAACGTTCCGTATTTCAAATTTTAAATTCTTCAATAACTCGATGAATTGTAAAGTTTGGTTATGAGCAATCAAATTTGGATGAAACAACTGGGAGTGATTGACTCACAGTGAACAAAGTGCATCATTCAGCAAGACAGCATCGAATAAGCTTAAGCAGAATTACCTAAACTGTTCTTTCATAAAATGGATGTGATGAATTTCCAGTGGGGTGGGACTGTTAGCACTGAGCTGATGCAATACGATCCTGGTTACAACAACTAGAGCAATATTGTGAGCTAATGAGTAGTTAATTGAGATTTATTTAATTGTGCGAATCGTAGAACATATCAATTCTTCTATAGAATAAATTCTGATAAATTCCTGAATTCAGCTACATGAAATCGTTATCGTTTGTCAAAGAAAGGATGATTATTTGAAAGTAATAAGTGCACGGTGTATATGAACGAGGAGGACAGCGAATTCTGCACTCCGTTGTGCAGTTGATCAATAATTCAAAGGAAAAATCTCGTGAAACGGATATCATTATTGTGCTTTAATTATTGCCCTATAATTGGCCGGTTTCGTTAATGAGATCGCAATCTATAAAGGTGTTCTAAATTGGTAATTTGAAAGTGGGTAGAGTTTCAGTTGGATCGTTATATTTATTCCCAGTCAAGGAAGCAATTTCAATTGATGATGCATTTTTTGATGCGATTCTTTTTTTCTGACTGAACGGGCGCGTTAGTTGACGAAATTTGGAAACGTTACGATTTTATTGAATGAGGACGAGCAATTGAATGAATTCGAAAGTGAACTCAAGGAATGAGGGTTTTCGTCACATTCAATGTATTGTACTTGTAGGGTGGATGATATTCGACGAATGTTTATGGGTTGTATGGTATAATCGTTAAGAATAAATTCTCTCATCAACGGTTCGTTCAGACAGTTGGCAATTTTTTTTTNNNAAAAAACATCAACTTGAAAACGTCTTCTCTGATACTGATTCAACCCTTCGAACAAATAAACGTCAGCGTTCGAGAGCTACAAAAAATGTTTCAGTTGAAATCGCATCCCTTCTCTAACGACATTCACTATTACCTATTGAGTCATGCCAGCACTGAGAATGCTGTGATGGAATGGAGTCTAAGAAATCACTTTCATTGATCATTATGGACAGCATTGTTCTATTGCAGAATCATGAAATACCGGCCATAGAATATCAGTTCATATAAGATAATGCAGCACATTTTCTTTATTTCAGTACATTCGCACCAACGTTCTACGTGACCTCAATTTTACGGTGTATCATTTACTGGAAAGGTTTTTGTAGTGACCAGAAAATTTCAATACGAAATATTGTGCTCAAAAATGAAGTCGTCCACAAACCTGAGAAATCTGTAGGAAGAATAAACTGTGAACAATGGCTGTGAAGGTGAATAAGTGGTAATAGTAAGAACAAGCAATCATTGATTACTGTAATCTATGAAGCGCAATTAATTGCGAGTTGATAGTGACGTCAGTGAGTAATATTCCGATTTGCATTCAACAGTGATGAATAGAAAATGATACGAATATAGGAATGGAATTGGATCGAGTCTTGCTTGGTTGGTGAATTATCAAAGCAATGATTATAGCTGATTCATATGAATTAAATATCATTTGAATTTACTCTTTTCATCTTTTTCACTCTTCATCTGTTTGTGTGAATATGGCGGTTGATGAGTGGAGATATGTAGAAAATATTCGAATGAATTGATGTCTAGATGAAGAACCCGGATAGAGTGGTTTGTCAAGTTTGCAGCTGAAAATCTCGTTTTGAGAGATATCTCTGCACAGATAGATATCTGAACAACTGCCGAGGATAATGACACACGACGTGAACACGTTCTAAGTTTGGTGTTGTTACAATACACCTCAACCAGATAAATGACCAATATGGTTCTTACTATCGATATTATTGTTGTTATTGCTCATCCGATTTCGCTTCACGCACGATCGACGACATCGAAGTCGAAATCTTAAAACCAACTTTCTCTTCACATATTCTGAACATAATTTTAAAACCCCAAATTCCAGCATCTCAAATTTCATTGTATTTGCACATTTTAGCACATGTTCGTAATATGTAACGCATGAAGATAACCTTAGCAGACTTGTTAAAAACAACTGTAGATTTGAAAACACACTGATCTTAGTAGACTTGAAAACTGTGAAAAGTTTCGCATTATACAAAAATCTTTTGGAAAGTTATTTAGGAATTTCATAACTTAGGCGATTGAAGGAGGGACGTTCAGATTCAATAATGCATTCGAAGTTCGATTATCACCCCTTTTATACATCTGACATAATGCTTCGTGACTGCTTTTTAACACAAAATTACACCCAAAAATGCTTCCTCATTTTCAGAAAATAGTTCCACAGGACATATTCGCTTCAAAATATACGTACTTGAAGGATGATGATGACTTTCACTGCCTTATTATATCAAGCCTATAGAAAAGAGGACAACAATTGAGTGATTTATGATGTCGGTACAGATGGAAGTCCGAACAATAGATTCAGTTCTTTTGGTAGTAATACTGAGTGAGTGCCTCCGATAGGACAACTTTTGTTCGTGAAAATAATTTGAGTGCGAAGATAGTCACTAGATGGATTGATGCATCGATGCCTCATTTACTTCGGTTGTTGGCTCGAATGAAGCAAAGATCAGATTGAATCCTAATTTGTGAGAATAATGCAGACCACATTGAATGAAAGCGCATTTGCACAACCTGTTTGAGCAGCATAATTCGATTAATTGACTGAGAGTTACTCAACAGTTGACGAGAAATTTGGAACGACTAGCAAAATACTTTTCGCGTCTATTACTGAATTTACGGATTGTTGGGGATTATTGAAAGTGCAAAATTTCAGAGGTTTACGTATTGAAGAAAGCAGTTGAAAAAGCAGTTCAGTGGGGATGTATCATAAAAACAAATTGGTGATGAACACATAGGGCTAGTTTTATTTTGGTAACAAAATGAAATTCTATGCTGCGTTCACTGCGGAAAGAATCGTGCAGAAAAACCAGCAGCTTAACGCTATTGTCGAGCATTTAGTGCTAACAAATAGATTGTAGTGGTTCTGAGAACACCGCCAGTAAAACTTTCCCCAAAACACATTCCGTACAAACCTGAATTTATACGACAAGGTAATGATGATTCAAACAACCGTGTAGATTATGCATATTAGTCATGCACGCATATCATTTATTGCATATAATATCGATCTAAAACCAGTCTGGAAACGCATCTGAATTAATATCTTAAACAGTTCTGACCATTTTCGTTGTCCCATAAATTTCATTCCATGAATCATTACTACAACAGGGAATAATGCTAAATATAAAAATCTTGCAGACTAGATCTTACTCAAATCCATCCAATTTCAATTATCCGAACTTTTTCGATTCATGGAGGAAGTTATCATATGCATTTTTGATTTATGTCAGAGCCATTCGATCTTGAGATTGGTCAACAACCAAGAAGAACTAAAAACTTTCTAGATGTTCGAAATTAATTGCATGTATCCAATGGGTTAGTTTTTTTTTGTAATTCGGCAGTTGTGTATCGTGCGGTCGATTGATATCTTGCCGACAAAGAAATATATCTGTAAGTAGTCGCATATATGATTGAACTTAAGTGGTTCTATGAAGTGAGCATTGAAGGCAGACCAGAAAAAAATGCAACGTAATAATTTTAAGACGTCGCAATGATTTATGAACGATAAAACCAGACAGGAACAGCGTTGAAATGCAGTTGAACTCAAACGTCAATTGATCAATGGGCCGGCCACATTAATTAAACCTATTCAAATTTTCCATTACGTCGTTAACGACTATTGGCGCAGTTCAAAATATCATTTCATTGTCTGATATTTCCAACAAGTAAATTTAAAAAATGATCCATTTATGATAATTTTAATGGCTTGAAGAACGAGCGAAAATTTAGAAAACATGAGGAGGGTAATCAAAACATTGAATGTTATAGGAAACTTGTCAGCTCAAGCAAAACTTCAATTGCTTAAAAATCATTCATACAACTTGCGTAGTTGGTTGAGATGAAGTGAGAAATATCAATAATCAGATGCATTTACTGAATTCTTTATATGGTTTCTAGGGAGAGAATATACCATATCACACACCATATCACATCAAAAATTCCAAAAATAACTCCAATTGGGAAGACAGAAGCATGGAATGCTTCTATCTTGTTAGTTGGAGTTGTTTTTGTTTTGAACATTTAGGTCAAAAAATAGTTATTGTGCCATCAGGATGAGGGATAGCGGTCGGTAAAATCGGAGGAATAGAAAGAGGTGATTTGCGTTGAAAATAGACGAAAGCGAAACAAATGCTGTCACAGACATGTTCAAATGGGTCACAATCTTTTCAGAATGATGTATATTTCGTTTCATCGAGCACCTATGCAAACGAGTGCGATTCAGTGATTTTAATGATATCAATATTGCTCATGATTTCGATGAATTTTTTCAGATAAAGATCAATCCAAACTGCTTCATATGCATATCCCAGTGACACAAATTTTATAAACTTAAAGTTACAAAGAAATTATCTGCTATAGTCTGACTGTTCTGCACCTGAGCTATTTTCATGAGCTTCTTGAGATGAATTGCA